AGAACCACATGTACACAAAAACAGTCATTTGCTTTTTATTTATTTTATTATGCATGCAAGAGCTGGGGTGCAGGCCAGAGGTATGGGAGGGGTGAGAGGATTCACCAGAGAACAGAGTAGGGAGCAGAACAGGTGGATTGCACCGTCCTTCACGTCTTTCCTCACTTTGTTCGATCAATACACCCACGAGAAATTATTTTCCTCCTCCCTCGTAAAATGCTACAGTTCTATCAGTTTTCACCAGTCCCAAGTACATTTGCACGATTCCTCATGTGAGACTGTCACACAGGCGTTTATAGTTACTTCTTCCCTCATCTGCTCTTTGACAGACACAACTTCTTCACTAGTCCACAGTCACACAATGAATCTCATTCCCTGCAAGTCACACATACACACGGATAGCTTCATTGCTTACTGAATTCACTTCTACACCCCATTAATTCATTTTGACCTAGCCTGTCTGTCTGTCTCCTGCAGGACTACTTCATCACCCAGCACTACACAGATATACTCACAATTAGCTCCCTACAGTCCTCCCTGGTGGCACAGGCAGTTGAGCACAGTGCTGTAAAGCCATCTGCCACCTCTGCAGGTTCAATCCTAGCTCTCCAGGGATACCCACATGGCGTGGCAGACCTCTCCTGTCTCCCCATTGCTCCCCTCAACAGTGTGTTTCATCAGTCTGCCTGTTCTGTTCCCCGCTCTGTCTCTGGCGAATCCTCTCACCCTCCCGCACATCTGGCCTGTACCCCGGTTCTTGTCTGCATAAATACACAAACCTTTAAATAATTACCTCCTGACATAGTTTCTCCAACACACACATTCTCTTTTTAAAAATTTTTACATCATTGTTCATTTTTAAACAATATTTGCTTCTCCCACCTCCTCAGGTGTGTTCCCCATAGAATTTCCTTCCCCAGTGCACCCGTGCACCCTCACCTCACTCCCCTGTGCTCCTCCCTCCCTCCCTCTGATCCCTCCCTCCTCCTTCCCTGCAGTAGTCTCTGATTTATAATTGTCTGTTTTTGCTTTGTTGTGTTTTGTACTCTTATTTTTTTACACTGATGTCTTATTCGTTCCCCTATATTCCTTCTATGAGTGAAACCATCCACTATTTTCCTTTGTTCTCCTGGCTTATTTCACTGAGCATAATTCCTTCCAGCCCCATCCACATTGCTGCAAATTGCATGAGTTTATCTTTTTTGATTGCTGAGTAATATTCCATTGTGTGTATGTATCACATCTTCCTGATCCAGTCATCTATTTTTGGGCATTTGGGTTGTTTCCAGGTTTTGCCTATTGTAAATAGTGCTGCAGTAAACATAGTGGTGCAGGTGTTCTTTTGGATCAATGTTTTTGTGTCCCTTGGGTAGATCCCTAGGAGTGGAACTGCCGGGTCGTATGGTAGCTCCATTTTCAGTAGACCAAAGAACCTCCAGGCAGCTTTCCACAGTGTGGACCAGTTTGCACTCCCACCACCAGTGCAGGAGAGTTCCTTTATCACCACATCCTCGCCAACATTTGTTGTTGCTAGTTTTTTTTTTTTGATATGTGTCGTTCTTACTGGCATTAGGTGGTATCTCAGTGTGGTTTTGATCTGCATTTCCCTGATTATCAGGGATGTTGGACAGTTTTTCATATGCCAGTTGGCCGTTTGCATTTCCTCTTTGGAGAAATGTTTTTAATTTCTTCTGCCCATTTCGTGACTGGATTGTTTACTTTGTTTTTGTTGAGTCAGGTGAGTTCTTTGTATATGTTTGTGATCACTCTCTTATCAGTTATATGGAGTGCAAAAATTTTTGGCCAATGAGTGGGGTGTCTCTCTGTTTAGGTTAAAATCTCTTTGGATGTAAGGAGCTTTTCAGTTTGATGTGATCCCAGGTGTTTATCTTTTCCTTGACTTTCTTTGCTTTGGGAGATGCGTCTGTAAGGATGTTAATGAGCTGTATGTCTTGCAGTGTTTCAGCTATATTTTCTTCTATGTATTTTATGGCTTCAGGCCTTATGTCTTGTTCATTTTTCCATTTTGAGTTGATTTTTGCGCACAGTGAGAGGTAGTGGTCTAGTTTCCTTTTTTGCATGTGGAGATCCAGTTTTCCCAGCACCGTTTATTGAACAAACTGTCCATGTTCCACTGCATATCCTTTGCACCTTTGTAAAGATCAGTTGTCCATATAAGTGTGGCTTTATTTCTGGGCTCTCTTTTTGGTTCCATTGTCTGTGCAACAGAAACATTCTTCATTCTTCCTTAGTACAACCATGTGCAGTCTGATACTTCATTTCTTAAGTGTACACACAAAGAATTTACTTCAGTCCTTACCTCTCTCACACATGTACATGTCAAATCAGTTCTTACCTAATCACAAACACACAATCAGTATTTTATAGATCACCTCTTTTTATATACAATACAGTTCCTTCCTTATTCATGTAGGCTCACACACATGATTCCTAAATCACCTGGGTGCACAACACACAATCCATTAATTTTTCCCACCCTTGATCACAAGCAAAGCCCATGATCACTTAATGTTTCCTCACTTAATCCTGCAGACACATCAGCTCTGCATTCCACATCAAGGCACACACCTTCACAGACAGGTCTTCATTTCTAATCTACTTTCTCTGTCAAATGCATAGTTTCATAGTTACTTCTCTCCACACCTGGTCTCTCCACATTTATAGTCACTTCATTCCTCACCTAGTCAGTACAGACACATGCACGGAAACACACACACAATCAATTACTTGTCTTCTCACCTGGTCACACATACACAGTATCTTCCTTTTCTCATGCAGTCTCTCTCAAACACATGCATCACTATCAGTTTCTATTTCTCGCCCAGTCTTACAGAGAGACACGTAGCAGTAACCTGCAGGGCATCCTTGGTGACCTAGGGGTTAAGTCTCAGCACTGCCGTTGAGGTGGTCTCCTGAGACAGAGTGGCCTGAGTTCGATCCCCTGCCAGGGAGCTAACCTACATGACACCACAGAACTCTCCTGTCTCGCTGGCTGTTCCCTTTAGCAGTGTCTTTGAATGGATCATCCTGTTCTGTTCCCCACTCTGTCTCTAGTGAATCCTCTCATCCCCTCCATACCTCTGGTCTACACCCCAGTTATTCTATGCAATAATAAGTAAAATAAAATCTTACAATAAAGGAATAATTCTTTTTTTCCCACTGATTTATTTTTAAAGATTTATTTATTTATACAAAAGCTGAGGTACAGGCCAGTGTTGGGGGAGGGTGAGAGGATTCACCAGAGACAGAGCGGGGTGCAGAACAGGCAGAAGGACCAAAAGCACTGCTGAGGGGAGCAGCATGCGAGACAGGAGAGGTCTGCCGCCCCTTGTGGGTATCTCCCTGACTGGCTGGGAACCGACTCAGTGCTGCAGAGGATGAGGCCAGCTTCACAGCGCTGCGCTCAACCCACTGTGCCACTGGGGAGGCCTGGAATAATTCTTAAAAAAAAAAGGAATAAGCTGCTTCTTAATTCCTAACTGGCCACAAGGATACAGAATCCCGACTTCATTCCTCCTCTGTTCTCCTACACACCAGTGACCAGACTGCTCACCTGGTCACAAACACACAACACGACCAGTTTCTTCAGTCTTCCGCAAGTTTATATACATAAATATTCTGATGCCTTATTTCTAATATGTGAAATTGTTGTAGAGTAACCCCGATACAAAACGGGGTGCCTGACTGTGGGTCCTCACCCGCACGCTTAAAAGGACTTATCAATGCTCTACTGCAGGCACACGTGAAAGGTTAATAAAAGGTTTATTTACAAGGGAAAGGGAAATGAGGAAATGTACAGTTCTGGGAGAAAAGTGGGAGACAAAGTTTTAAATGAGTCCTACCCGATCCGCCGATCAGGAATCCCAAAATGGCGCTCTGAGAGCTGGCCGCCAGCCAGGAGCGGTGAAGCCAGGAGGCGAGCGATCGCGAGCCAGAGAGAGAGCAAGGCCCACGTGTTTGGTTTTTATATCCAACCTGGCTGCCCAACTCCACCCTCAGGTCCCAGCCACCCTCCCCTTGGTGGTGATGGGATTTGTCTTTCCCAATGTCCTGATGGCTTTAGTCTGGAGTGGGGGTGGAGTCCACAAAGCCTGTATGAGATTATCTCAGGACATCCTTTCCCCCTAACAATTCCCCCCTTTATGGTGACCAACGCAAGGAATGTTACTTTGGGCTGGTCAACCGCGGGTGTAACTTGGAAACCACGTTGGGCGCCAAACTGTTGTAGAGTAACCCCGATACAAAACGGGGTGCCTGACTGTGGGTCCTCACCCACGCGCTTAAAAGGACTTATCAATGCTCTACTACAGGCACACGTGAAAGGTTAATAAAAGGTTTATTTACAAGGGAAGGGGAAATGAGGAAATGTACAGTTCTGGGAGAAAAGTGGGAGACAAAGTTTTAAATAAGTCCTACCCGATCCGCCGATCAGGAATCCCAAAATGGCGCTCTGAGAGCTGGCCGCCAGCCAGGAGCGGTAAAGCCAGAAGGCGAGCGATCGCGAGCCAGAGAGAGAGCAAGGCCCACGTGTTTGGTTTTTATATCCAACCTGGCTGCCCAACTCCACCCTCAGGTCCCAGCCACCCTCCCCTTGGTGGTGATGGAATTTGTCTTTCCCAATGTCCTGATGGCTTTAGTCTGGAGTGGGGGTGGAGTCCACAAAGCCTGTATGAAATTATCTCAGGACATCCTTTCCCCCTAACAAAATCACTCTTTTCCTGGTCACATACACACATTTTTTTTCCAATTCACACCTTAACAATTTTATTGTTTTATTATTATTATTTAATTATCATTCTAATGTTTAATAATTAGAATTTAATAATCATTTCATTATTTAATTATTTCAGCTTGGGGCGGAGCAGGTCCAACTGCCTACTGGCCCCACCCAGCCTGGGGTCCACTTATGGTCCCGCCCCAGGCTAGCATGGGGGCAGAGGAGATCTATCTGCAGGCCAGGCCCAGCCCAACCTGGGTGTGTGTGTGTGTGTGTGTGTGTGTCTGTGTGTGTGTGTGTGTGTGTGTGTGTGTGTGTGTGTCTGAGGAGGTCGACCATGTGGCCGGTCCCTCACTAGCCTGGGGGTTTTAGATATCTCCCTGCTAGGCGGCCCCAGCACACCCTGGTGTCTGAGGAGGTCGACCTTCTGGCCGGCCCTTCCCAAGCATGGGGCTGAAGAGGTTTCCCTGCTGGCCGGCCCCAGTCCAGCCGGGGGGCTGATGAGGTCGACGTGCTGGCCGGCCCCCGTCCAGCCAAGGAGCTGATGAGGTCGACCTGTCGGCTGGACCCTCCCAAGCCTGGGGGCTGTAGATGGCTCCCTGCCGGCAGCCCCAGCCCTGTGGGAGTCTGAGGAGTTCGACCTGCTGCCCGACACCAGTCCAGCCTATAGGCTGAGGAGGTCGACCTGCTGGCGGGACCCTGAGCAGACTGTGGGCTGAGAGGTGTATGTGCCGGCCAGCCCCAGCTGAGCCTGGGGGCTGAGGAAGTCGAGCAGCTGGCATGTCCCAGCCTATCCTTCGGGCTGAGAATTTCCTCATGCATTCAATTATTTGGTAATTATTCTTTATTAATTATGTGATACACATTGGATTAAAGTAATATTTTCATTATTTTATAATAGTTATTGAAGGATTGCTTAATCGTCATTTAATTATCTAATAATCATTTAATTACGGTATAATTAGTTTTTAATTATTTAATTATTTTAATGACTATGATTATTATTTAGTTGTCTGATGAAAATTCAAATACTCTATAATATCTACTTAATTAATTTTAGTTTTTATTACTTTCTCATTATTTAATTATCGATCTGCTTTTAATATCTTAATATCTTTTAATTTTTTATACTTGTTATGCCCTAATGATTTAATCATCATTTCATTCTTTAATAATCACTTAATTGCTTTTCAATTATTATTTAATTATTTAGAAAGCATTTTGCTGTTTTATAATTAATCTTTCATTCTCATTCATTGTTCTCTTTTTATAATTCAATCATTTCATTACTTCATTATTTCAGCTTCGGGGCTCTGCAAGTCCACCTTTCTGCCGGCCACAGCCCAGCCGAGGGGCTTAGGCCGTCGACTTGCTGGCCGGCTCCAGCTGTCCGTAGACTCTGGATATGGACCTGCTGCCCGGCCCCCTCCCAGCCTAGGTGCTAATGAGGTCGACCTGCTGGCCGGCCTCACCCCAGCCTGCAGTGTGCGGATGTCGACCTGCTAGTCGGCCCCTCCCCAGCCTGTGTGCTGGGGAGGTCGACCTGCTGGGAGGCCCCAGCCCAGCCTCGAATCTAAGAAGGTTGACCTGCTGGCCGGCCCCTCCCGAACCTGGGGGCTGAGGAGGTTGACCTTCTGGCCAGGCCCAACCCACTCTGTGGTCTGAGGAGGTCGACCAGGTGGCCGGCCCCTCCCTAGCCTGGGGGCTTTAGATATCTCCCTGCTAGACTTCTCCTGTCTCAACCACTGCTCCCCTCAGCAGTGTGTTTCATTCAGTTTGCCTGTTCTGCTCCCCACTCTGTGTCTGGTCAATCCTCTTAGCCCCCTCACCTCTAGCCTACATCCCAGTTCTTCTGTGCATAAATAAATATATCTTTAAAAAATAAATAAAAATAAAATAAAGTTATTGAATGCAACTTACTCATTTTGCATTGGTCCGATTCACTTTAACCACTGAATCTGAAGCAGAATTGACATTCACTGAACACATACCTTACCATAACTCTGCTTTTATTGCTGAATGTCAGATGAACTGGTCAAGTTAGCAACAATATAATTATGCTTATTTCCTTGCTAATGTATATCTACTCTTTTCAATTTTTTATTTAATGTTTTTGAATTAACATTGTTTTACAACTTTATATAGTTTTCGGATCAGATGACAGCACTAGAGTTGAATATCTGTATTATGTACTACATCACAATCTCCACCAAATTTGCTTTCCATCCTCCACCTTGACCCTTCATTTTAAAAAATCATTTATTTATTAAGAACTGGGGTGCAGGCCAGAGGTACTGTATCCTGGTGGGTGAGAGGATTCACCAGAGACGGAGTGGGAAATAGAACAGGCAGACTGACTACTTTTTAAAGAAAGATTGAACAAGTTGATAAGGCTAGCAGGCTGACACCAATGGAAAGGTTCACCTCCTAGATGGGATCCTGACCCAGAAACCACTCTATAAAATGACTAGGGATCTAGTCAGAGAAGCAGTGGGCATTTTTGGGCAGTTGATTGTTGGAAATATTCAAGGACAGTAGCATATGGCTTGAGACATGTTTCCAAAACTGAGAGCTTGGAGACAGAGACTGGTCTGTGCAGGAATATAAGTTCTAAAACGCTGAAGGCAATGAAAATCAAGACTGAAGTTGGGTCTATTCACCAAACTTCACAGTTTTTCAGTGGTAAAATATGTATGAAAAGTGTAAGGACAAGAATGTGCTAACCTGGGATGCCCTGAGAGGTCAGAGATGAAACAAAACTGTTTTGCCAAAAGAACAAATGATAGACAAAAGTAACAGATATGATTGGAAATGTTTTGGGCTGAATTGTATCCCTCTTAAAATTCATATGTTAAAACCCTGTCCCCAGGGTGACTGTAATTGGTGGTAAGAACTTTGCAGAGGTAAGTAAGTTATTAAAAGTCATAGAGTATGGCCAAATCCAGTAGGACTGGTGTCACTATTGAAAATGAATAAACGCCAAGTATTTACCCAAAGAAAGGACATACCCTGTGAGGACACAGTGGTAAGGCAAACCATCTCCAAGCCAAGGAGAAAGGTTCTGTCAGAGACCAACACTAACAGTATTTTAATCTGAACTTCCAGCCACCAGAGCTGAGAAAACAAATATCTGTTATTTAAGCACCCAGTGTGAGTTACTTTGTCATGGTCACTGGAACAGACAAATACAGGAATATACAATTTAAAGTTTCCAACTTTAAAGAAGAATGATCCATGTTTTTGGCTAATTCCTTAAGTAGAATGTCTTGGTAAATAAATAAAGGAGTATGTTTTGAGCCATTTCATATAGCAGTAAAAAGAAATAATAGATGCAGGGCCTCTCCCTCATGGTGCAAGGGGTTAAGTCGCAACACCATGGAGGTATCCGCAGCCAGTGCAGCACAAGTTCAATCCCCACCTAGGGAGGTGACCCACATGGCACAGCAGACCTCTCCTGTCTTGCCTGTTACTTCCCAGTACTGTATTTCAGTCAGCCTGCCTGTTCTGCTTCCCACTCTGACTGGTGAATCCTCTCACCTCCTGCACCTCTTGCCTGCACCCCAGCTATTATATGCATAAATAAATAGATCTAAGAAAAATAACATATTGGGGCAAATGAGATTTTTAAAATATTTGAGCAAAGACATTTTTCTTCTCCTTTATTTTTCCCTGATATTAACTATATCTCAAACTTTTCACAAAGGTTTCAGTAGAACACCCCAAGGTGCCATGAGTTTGTCAGCCACTAATCCAAAGTCTAGTTGAAGCTTTGATACAATCTGGGATATCATGGCAAAATCACTTACATTTTGGTGTCTCAATTTCCACATTTTAAGAAAATTTGGATTAGACTAGCACTACTAATGTGTGAATGAGGTTTACTGCAATCACAAGATCAAAAATCCGTGCAGAAACATAGACTGTGCAAGCTTGAATAGACCTCTCTGTCACAGAATTTCTTGGAGCATTTTAAAGTCAATGTGCTCTACAAAGCCACAAGGAAAGGATACCACACACAATATCCCTCACGTGTTGTTTTGGCACACAGCACTGGAGACAGGTTACATTAGGAAGAGGCTACTATTCGCTATAATTCCCCCTGGATCCCAAATGGTCAGATCCCTTTGCTCATAATGTATTATGGTCACATCCAGAGCCTCCTAGTTCTTTGACTGTTTATTCACTAAGAAAGAGTAATAATGAAGTGAAGGGTGTTTTAGGAGGTCTACATCCCAGAAAAAAATCCTTAAGAAACCACAACTATGCTCTATACTCCAGGAAACAAGAATCTTTAAAGGGATAATTAGTGGAGGATTTGAAACTCCACACACTCTCTGCACTTTCCATTTTTAAGGAAGTTTCCTTAAAATGTACCTGTTTTCCTATTTCAGTCTGTTTCAGCATTTTTTAAAGATTTATTTATTTATGAATACAAGAGCTGGGGCACAGGCCAGAGATGCGGGGGTGGTGGTGGTGAAAGGATTCCCCAGAGACAGTGTGGGGAACAGAACAGGCAGACTGACTGAAATACACTGCTGAGGGGAGCAGTGGGCTGGACAGGAGAGGTCTGCTGCGCCATGTGGGTAGCCCCCTGGCTGGCCAAGGGATCGAACTTATGCTGCAGAAGCTGCCGATTGCTTCATAGTGTGGTGCTTAACCCCATGTGCCACCAGGGAGGCCCTGTTTTAACATTCTTTTGTTATAAAGACATATGTGATATTTGGGTTTTGCTGTTTGTGTCCCATAGCATAGAATAATATATTCATGCAAACAAAGAAATGGACTTGAAAATTAATTGGAGGAAAATGCAGGAGATAAATGGACAAGTAGTTATTTATAAATGGGAATTCAGCAAAATTATTAGGAGACAAGTGTGTCATGCTGACCATTGCCAATCATCTTGACCAAGGTTCTTTTGGAGGAATAAGTAATTGCTTGCTTTTGGCATCATTCTCACCATGGACATATGTTTTGCATTGTCAAATGGTTCCTTAGGATCAAGATGATATAGTATAATGCAGCTAGGTTCATTTAATTTGCATTAAACAATGCACAATGTACTAGTTTTTCTGTACTTTTTTTCTTGACCTTATAGAAATGGCCTCAGATAGACTCATTGACCTTCAATCATAAATCAGCCCTTTACTGGTAAAGAGGTGAAGTGGATTAACAATGGATTTACTTGTAAATTGAGAAGAGATAAATCTTTGTTCCCTCCAGGGTAGTGCTGTATTTATAGATTGGAAGGCAGAACCACGTTTCAAAAAGCACTTTACAGGAAGGTAAAGTCTTCAAGACCTTGGGTGTTTATGATCTCTGAAACTTGTATATCTGCACAATTGTTGTAAAATACGCTAATAAAATAAAATAGGATGTTGCTTTATATTTGCCTGTGTTACAACCTGAGGTGTTGTACAGGTAGAATGAAGGCTACAAAAAATAAACTCATAAGCTGAAACTTAATTCCGTTGGGAAACCCACCACTTTTATTTACAGGTCTATAAGCCTAACAGATTAAAATAACTAAGAAAATGTATTACAAGTGTATTTCATACCACTCTCCAATCAAGTTCCCTGAATGATCTGTAAGCATTTCATCCCATAAACCTGCCTGGTAAATATCTGTTAACTTGAATATGTGGAATTAATTTCTTCATTAGAAGTAACCTAAACCTACATACAGAATAATAGGACGGCATGATGGGCCTGGTCTTTAGCTAGTTTGTGATTATATTACACTACACAGATATATCCTTGACTGCAAAATGACAGAATAATTTTAGAAATTTGCAATATAAAAAGCAAGCACATTTGGCATATGAAATAGTGTCGGAGATTTCAGAGCAATATTAAAATCTGCATTATATTTTTAAAACATGGAAATCTGCTTCTAGCAAGAGTCAAGCACTTTAACCAGTATGAAAAAATCAATCAGTTTTTAGATATTGTAATCTATTTCTAGGTTATCCAAGTCAGCTCTTTGGATATTTTTAGCTATATCTATCTACCACAAAGCATTAAGCAAATGACAACATGGGTCAAACATTAAGAATTTAAATGTCGGGGGCCTCCTTGGTGGCACAAGGGGTTAAGTTGCACCACTATGAAGCTATTCTCAGCCACTGCAGCACTGCATTCATTCAATCCCCAGCCAGGATGCTACCCGCATGGCATAGCAGACCTCTCCTGTCTCACCTGCTGCTCCCCTCAGCAGTGTATTTCAGTCAGTCCGCCTGTTCTGCTCCCCACTCTGTCTCTGGTGACTCCTCTCAGCCCCCATGCCTCTGGCCTGTACCCGAGTTCTTGTATGCATAATAAATAAGCCTTAAAAAAAGAATTTAAATATTAACCAATACTGAATGGGGACTACTGTCTGCACAAATACACTGCTCTGTGTCATTCTTCATGGGCTCATATGATAAAGTGTTATATGAGATGGAAGAATGACAACACGATCTTCCCACTCTCTGAAATGTGTACTTGACATCTTCAACCTAAATAATCATGAAGGAAAATTGACTTCAGGAAAATCAACTCTGCTACCACTTAGTAACACCTAAAAATATGACCCAAAAGGATCAACATGTTAATAGATAACTTCAACATGTTTCTGAACAAAACTCAATAATGTTTGTAAAAACAAAAATCTATACCGTACCCAACAATGTGAAAATCTAAAATGCCTGCCATCCAATTAAAAATTATGAGACCTTTAAAAAAAGAGGATAACACAAACATCGATTGATTGAAATAGACCCAGAAATGACATTAGTGGCAGAATTAGTAGACTAGGACATGAAAACAAATATTATTGCTGAATTCTGTGTGTTCAAGAAGCCGAAGAATAGATTGACCACATTAAGAGGAGATATAGACTATATAAAAGAGGCACACATTAAAATTCAAGAGATGAAAATTGCTATGTCTGAGATTGAAAAGTTCACTGCATAAAATCAATGAGAATCAAGCGCACTGAAAGAACTGCAAGGAGAAATAAATGAATCTACTGACATAGTTGGATATTTCTACACCCATCACACTCATTCTGGACAAATCCAGAGGGAAAACTCTGTGAAGACATAGTGGAACTCAAGAGTAGTGTCAATTAATTGGATAGCTATAGAATTTTTCATCTAACAGCAGGTGGGCCCATTCTGGTGGCCTAGGGGTTAATCTCAGCCCTATCACCCCTATGGGCCTGAGTTCCATCCCTGCCAGGGAGTTAACTCACATAAGGTACAGCAGACCTCTCCAGTGGTGCCCCACTGCTCCCCTTAGCAGTGTGTTTTGGTCCTTCTGCCTGTTCTGCTCCCCACTCTGGTGAATCCTCTCACCCCCTCATCTCTGACCTACACCCCAGTTACTTATTTAATTATTTACTTATTGTTGTGTATTAAATCTCAAAAGAAAGTAAAAAATAGTTTTTATTGGGCAAAAATGAAAACACAACTTATCAAAATATGTGGAATATAGAGAATCCAGTGTACCAAGGGCTATTCATAGCCTTGAATTTATATAAAAAGAAGAAAGATGTAAAACGCATAATACAAGTTTCCACATTAGGAAACTAGAAAAAGATGACAAAAGTAAGGCCATAGCAAGTAGAAGAAAATAAATAATAATGCCTAGAGCAGACATTTGTGAGATTGGAAACAGGAAATTAATGGAAAAAATAAATGGAGACAAAAATTATTTCTTTAAAAAGATCGGTAAAATGTATAAGGCTCTAACAAGATTCAGTAAGACGAGAGTAGGGCACAGTCTGCTAACTTGAGAAAATAAAGTGTCACAAGTTCCATATAATTGTAAAGGATTACAGAAGAAGAAAGAGAAGGAGAAGAAACTATAAACAAGTCTGTCCACAAATTGGATAATCCTGAAATGAACCAATTCCTTGAAAAATACAATATGTTCAATCTCACAAACAATTCCTCTTCTGGGTACATATCCAAATGGATGAAATCACTGTATCTGTTCCCCATGTTCACTGCATCATTATTTACAACAGTCAATACATGGAATCAACCTAAGTGTTCATTTATGGATAGTTGGATAAATACTGTATGATTTCACTTAATGTGGAATGCCAAAAAACCCAAACTCGTAAACAGAGAAAATATTGGTGGTTGCCAGGGGTATTGACTAGGGTATTGATTAGGATCTTTATAGTTGAAATGTTTAGTAAAATAATGCCCTAACAAGTTTTGAACAGATACAAATAGTTTACTGTTCACAACTTTGAAAATGCCAAAAAATATAAGAAAACATAGAAACAATTTTCCATTTTGTACCCACTGATATTGCCACTTGTCATAGTTTTTCAAATACTCTAGGGGTATTGACTAGGGGTGGGAAAAATGGATGGTAATGGTCAGAAGGTACAAGTCATAAGATAGATAAGTTCTGGGGATTTAATGAACAGCACGGTGACTATCGTTGGCAGTGGTTTAGTGTATACTGAAGAGCTGATAAACATGCTCTTAAAAGTTCACGTCCCAAGGAAAAAACAATTGTAACTATATGAGGTGAGGATGGTTAACTAAATCTATTGCAGTAATCATTATGCAATGTGCGCATATATGAAATCATTAAGATAAATAAACAATGATGTGCTATGTAAATTACACCTCAATAAAATTGGCCAAAATGCAGAGCTTATATCCATTACATCTCATAGAACTTTTCAAAAATGAAAGAAACGACAAATAATATCAAGTAGAGAGAGTAAGAGTTATGCATGTGGGAAGACCTAATGTTTAACTTTATTATTCACAGTTTAGCTTTGGTTTGACTCATATGTTCATAGGTCCTTTTCATGTTAGTAAAAATAATAAAATGATTAGATAATATCAGGGCAGAATGATACAATAATGAGCGTTTTAAAACCATGGCTGTAATGTTTAATCTGATTCTCTACAACTTTTCTCCCCAAAGTTACAAATGATAATAAAATTTTTCCAAAGTCTATTCAAATGGTGTTGAAACTTCACAGTGAATGACATCGACAAATTAATTTCTATGATATCTTGAAGTAGAAGACCTGTGCATTTCTCTGTGCATTCAGACATGGAACTTGACAACCTATTCTGCACAGGGGAACTGGTAATGCCTTGACTTTAGGAAAAGGTGGACAGTTGCTAGTCTTCTGTTTTTTTTTTTTTCTTCCTTGTGGCAAAGGGTGGAGTGATGTGTGAATATGTGATGTTCTTCTGAGGTTTCTGGCATGTATCACACCTCTGACCATGATCTCAACTGGAAAACTCGAGCCAATTATATTCCCATAGGTGTTAGCGGACCTTAAATCATGGTTTGGTAATGTGTTTAAAGCTATAATTTTAATAGTCCTGAAATACTCAGGTTTTTTGCTAGGAAGATAATGATATAAAGCTAAGAGCTATGGATTCTTTAAAACAGATGTTGGTAGATGGCTTTTCTCATTACACAATTACAGACAGAAAAGTCACATAGATTACAACCTGGAGGATGGTCTTGGAGTCGTACAATCATTCTGTTCTCAATGGTTAGAGAAAAACGTAAGATGTCAGAAATCAGTGTGTAATCCTTTATGTTCATTCCAGAATTTTTTTATAGGGGTAAATTGTTGGTTATTCAAGAGATCACTATATAACTTTTCCAACTGTATGAGTCTTTATAGTTGAAATGTTTAGTAAAATAATTTCCTAACAAGTTTTGAACAGATACAAATAGTTTACTGTTCACAACTTTGAAAATGCCAAAAATATAAGAAAACATAGAAACAATTTTCATTTTGTACCCATCCATATTGCCATGTCTCATAGTTTTGCAAATTCTCTGTGCTTGTGTCACAGGTCACAACCTCAGGAGATTTTTTAAGCGTGATATGAAACCACTGCCATCCATGGAGGGCCTGGAAAGATCTTAGAATATTGGTAGGTGGCATTTTTAATAATGAATGGTACGTACTTAACAAAACTTTGTCTTGGTCAGCTATAAGACAAGGGGTTTTCTGAAAAGTTAATGTAATCACCGAAACCGAAAAGTTTATGTCATCACCTGTATTGTCTAAATTGTCTAAACATTTTTCTTTTTCAGTCATATGTCCTTGGGCAGCTTCTAGGAGCAAGGAAGGCAAACAGAGTGTATACTGATGGGAGAAGAGGTACAGCGCCTTTAATATCCCAGGTCCAACTTTGAATCAACAAGTGCTCACATTCTCGTGGTTGCCTTCCTCAACACAAGAGACATCCTAAGTTTTCTAATTACCAAACAAGCGAACACACACAAAAACAACCTCCCCCAAACCCAGCAGCTGAAACAGAGCTAAGAGGCGGGGACATGATGTTTTCAACATAGACCAACACTGCTCGCTCCCTTGTCATACCGTGCATATTAAATCAGATGACCGTCATAGTTGTACAGTGCCTCGATCACCACAAAGGTCGCTGCAGAAGAGTGTCAGCGGAGCAGACACAGCCCCCTCTGCTCCAGTTGAAACTTTGACATAATTGACATCATTTTTCTCCGTTCCCACTCATTCTACTTTGTACCGCTGTGCTTCAGCCAGTCTTCCACCGGTCTTCATTGATTGCCTCTTGGGAAGACTTAGTTGGGATATACCCATCAGGTTATGGTTGTGACAAATACCAGTGTTCGGTTATTTCAGGCATATAAGTATCAGGCGTCCCTCAGGTCGTAAAATAGCTCTTCCTACTCACAATGTGAGTTCCCCCACCTGTCACAGTGAGCAGGATCATTACTAGTCAAACAATTATGGCAACTAGATCATCATCAATAGATAAAATCTTTTATTTGCCTATTAGCATGCCAGCATAAATGCACAAAATATGTAGCCCTTTGTATCTTTAATTTTAGTGGTATTCTCATTGTAATGTCTTGTAAAATCATTTTCCCACCCCCACCCCATGGAGGCAAGATTTTTATTTCAGTGAAATTAACTTTTACAGATGAGAAGTGTAAATTACATTAAGTGGTCAGTATGAATGATGGTGACTAGAGCTCATCGTACTTCCATTCCTTAACTCTCAGACCCATCTCGTCTAGCTACTGGGGATACAGCACCATAAATAGTCCAATAGTTTAGTTTTATATACTGTGCTCAGCTCCTCAGGGTACTGTCTCCAGCCAGCCCCTTTGCTGGTTTAATTGATCATTCTGTATTCTTATTATTCTGGACTCTCTTGATGCTCCTGCATATGTCAGAGCAATGATTGCTATATGCCTATTAGTCCAAATTATTGTTTTTCGTCTAAGGCAATGCAATGTGAATTCCCATGTTGTTAACCAAGCTTCTGTAATTTTCAGACGGTGGTACTAGAAGACACTTACAAGCTAAGAAATATCTGGAGGATATGGAGAGATAAATCACTGCACCTTCCAAGATGTAAGCCTTCTGATAAAATCACCTGCCACTAAATGACTCCCTGGTTTTCAAGATATAAGTTACTTCATCATATACACATATCTTTCATCCAAGCTTACTTATCCTCAGTATTTCGATCTTATTTTTTTCTAGGATTCTGAACAACCACACAAACTATTCTTTAATGCCCAGAAATGTATGGCTTCTTCTACTTAATCCATTTCTTCTATACAACGTGAAGAAAACAAGTGCAAAGGATAGACTAAGGTCATGGACTACAGGTGCTTTGCTGGTAGGTTAACTATGGCGACCACACTTGAGGGGAGAAATCCTACACTAACAAAGAACTAACAAGGATGTACAACAATGTACTTTATTTTTAAAATATAGAAATACAGAGAAAAAATAAGTGCACAATTGCAGATGTGTTCATTGAGAGATTGCAGAGCAGCAGCAATGGCGCCACATTGTGGCAGCGGGTCATTTTTCTGCTAGCAAAGTTATCTCTCAGAATTGAGTTCTTTTCATTCATTGGTTTTGTGTAGCCCCTCATGAGGCCCATAGATGTGAATTAAGAGATGAGAGTCAGTACAACAAGGAAAGTCAACATCTGTTCGTGTACCTTACTTGTGCCTTATAGATTTGATTTTACTTGATTCCAAATATCTCACTTTTATCACACCATCAAAGATTGCTGTGTCTGTCCAATCTATTGACTCAATAGATAATCATGTTCAGCTTATGATGAGAATCCATTCAGAAAGGAGAATTATAGAGTCATAAATTTTATATTGCATAGTCATAAACTAAAATAAATGTAGGTAAATAAAGGAAAAAGAAACATCAGTCAATAAAATATTTTTTATTTATATTTGATCTAATAGGTATGCATTTGTCAAAGGTATACAATACCAGTGTAAGAGGGAGAGATCAGTACGTATTTCCTGTGAGGGGGTGAGGATGTAGCTTGAGATCATCATCAAGGGCCAGTGATTTCATCAATCACGCCCATGTTAGGAAGCCGCCACAGAACCCCAAAAGGACAGCCTGTAAGAGCTTCTAGCTTGATGCTCCAGGCCCTCAAGGTGCTGATTGAAAACGCAGATGTTGTGTATGAAAGATTGTCCATTGTCAGAAGGCGGCGGGAATTCTTGTCACTAAGCAGCAATAGTGACACAGTCAAGGACCTATTTCTCCCCCGGTGTCTGCTCACTCTCAGGCTACCATGCAGTGCGTGTAACACAGCCGCTAAGAGCATTATTTTTTTGTTTGTTTTTTTTTAAATTGTATATACTTTTTACATCTTTTTTCATTTTTGTACAATGTATACATTTTCATCTTGGTTATATTCCCCATACAATTCACACCCCCCCCTTATTTTGACCCTAATCCCTCCTCACTTCCCTCCCTCCATAGTGTCTCTGGTTTATAGTTGCTTGTTGATTTTGACTTCTATTTTATTATAATTAGTCTTTTTCCTGGTCCTTTATTTAGGTTTCTAAATTCCTGCTATGAGTGAGACCATCCAGTGTTTTTCGTCTTCTTTCTGGCTTATTTCGCTGAGCATGATCCCTTCCAGCTCCATCCATGTTGCTGCAAATGGCATGAGTTTGTCTTTTTTGAATGCTGAGTGATATTCCATGGTGTATATGGACCACATCTTCTTGATCCAGGCATCTATTTTTGGGCATTTGGGTTGTTTCCAAAGCTTAGCTATTGTAAACAGTGCTGCTATAAACACAGGGGTGCAGGTGCTCTTTGGAATTGATGTTTCTGTGTCCTTTGGGCAAATACCTAGGAGTGGAATTGCTGGATCATATGGAAGCTCTATGTTTAGTAGGTCCAGAAA